GCCAATACTGATTCCAGCCAATTTTAGTCAGTCTCCAACCATACAATGAAAATCCCACTGAAAAATAAATGTCCAGCTTTCTTACACCGCAGTTGTCATTAATTATTTGTATTAAAAGCACATTTTAAGACAAAGACAAAATGGTTACGTAGTTCACATTTGACAAGTATTTACTATAATATTATTGATTCAGAAAGGCTAAAATTATTAAAACAGCTGTTTATATGACCCCTAAAATAATAAGCATCTACAAAAAGGGATAACATATCAAAATAAATTGTTTTATAGCAGACAGAAGTTAAAAGCTTGTAATGTTGAGAGAACAACTTTGCACCGAGTCCTTCAGCCTGTTATCTGTTTGAAAGTCTGTCTTTTGTTTTCTAGCTTCCTTAATGAACTGCAGACATTGCTCATATCATGCTGTATCAAATTGATTTTTTGTAAATCACTTCTAACATTTTGATCCCTGCTCTGATCGTCATGATCCACCAGTTGTGATTTTGTTCTCTCTTGTGTTTGTAGTTACGCGTTTTAGTCTTATTAGTGTTTCTCCATATTAGTTTATTCTATTCCCTGCACTTTGGTTTATTTCTTGTGTTAGTGTTAGTTCTTAGCTTCTGGCAGATCATGTGTGTTTGATTCAGTTTCTCCTGTGCCCATTATTCAGCCTTCCCTCGGTCCCTGCTTAGATTCTCCCCCAGATGCTCTTCATTATGTTGATTGTATTTACCTGGTTTGCAGGCCACAATCGCTTCTCCGCAGCATTTAAGTACTAAAAAGTCATGATGTAGTGCTTGGATATCATGTGTTAACAGTTTTAACAAGAAAAACAGCATATTTCAGTTTTACCTGAGCTATCAGTCAGGGCCTGAACGAGTTGCAAATCAGCTGATTCCTGTCACTGGCTGTTTTCTAAATACATCTTTTACCTCAACATTAAAAAGTTTGTATTGTAGCAGCACCATAAGAAAATCAAACTGTTGAACATTTTTTGGCTTATATCAATCATTAACTTCTTCGGGTGTTTACGTGATATGAAATGACACAAGTAAAGAATAATATAGTCTGAGCGGTTTGTAGGAAAACTGTTTTTCACTCAATCTACGGGACAAACGTGCATTTTTAAGTCATTCTTCTAAATACCCGCTGCTCTTAAAGCCTGGAAGGCCTGAAAGCTAACAGACCTTATTAAATTCATAAGACCTGTACCGGGATCAAACGCCATTTTGATTGAAAGGTGAAAATGAGTGCAGATTTCAGGTTAATATGACAAAACTTTAAGCGAGTGTGCACACAGTGGCAACTTCAAAGATGCGTCACCTCTGCTACTATAAATCTAAAAATATTGAAGAAGTACCGAACAGTATTACTAAGTGCATTAGATTATGGTTACATATCCCAGAGCTCTACACTCATTAAAAGAAGACAAGACAGTTGAAAAGGGCAATTTCATTTGGTTAGTTGCTTTGTGCAATTTTTGAATAGAGGCTTTTAAAAAAAAGAAGAACAATATACATAGGTATGTCATTGTTAGGCAGAAACACGAAATCTAATTTAATCTTAAAACCACCTAGTTTTACTTTTGTGTCTTTCAGACAGTGGAACATGACAGAGGGAACATCTGCACTGCGTGGTTCTGAACGTGTTAACCAAAGCTCCATGTTGATAGAAAAGCATGTGACTGCTCGGATAAAGCTGTGAGGATGCAGTGTTACTTTATAAACCTTGTCAACACAGTGTTTAATTATCCATCCAACACAGAGTCATTTGCTTTTCCTTAAAAGCAAAGGCCTGCATGATGCCCTTTTCTGCACAGTTGCCTGGCAGCCAGGAGGTTTATCCCCTTCTGTGTGGAATTTGCATGCGAGTATCTGTGGGTTTTCTCTCATCGTCTAAAAACTTGCATGATGGGAGACTGTTTTGTAACCTAACCTTGCCTTAAACTTCAATAACTATATCCATAACATGTTGGCTGTGTTTTAGTCTCCCTAATGCTGTTCATTCACTAAAGTTCTCTAACAAATCTTAGAGACCTTTTAGAAGAAAAAGTAAAGTGACCTGAATGAAATGAATGACAGACTTAGTTTCTAATTGTAAAAAAAAACAAAAAAACAAAAAAATATTAAAGTGTTTTTTTCTTTGTTTTTGTTTTTTTCTCATAATTTTACAACTAGAAATAAAAATCTGAAACTCCGAACCATGGAGTTTACTTTGATGCTCTTGAATAAAATCCATTGCAACCAAATGTCTTCAGGAAGTCTCTAAAACAAATAGGATCCAACTGTTTGTAATTTAAATCCAACTGTTCTCTGAATGCCTCACGGGATTGTTAAAGAACCATGAACAAACATAATGAAGACCAGGGAACAAAGCAGGCAGTTCAGGGATAAAGATGTGGAAAAGTTTAAAGTATAGTTAGGCTATAAAACGGCACAGGGAGCTTTAATCATCTCCCAGAGCATTACTTCATCATCTGAAAATGGAAAGAGTTTGACACAGTTGTAGAACTACCAAAATTTGGCTATTCACCAAAACTGACAAGCCTCAAAGGAGGCACAGAAAAAGGCCTTGAATGAGGACTGACAACATTGTGGATTTTTTTTTTTGCAAAAAGCCATGGAGAGAGTGCACACCAGAAGACTCTGCTCTTGTTGGCCAAAATTCATGCAACATACTATATGTGATGGGAAAAACAACAAAACAAAAAAAAAAAAACAGTTTAAACAACAATTCCACTAACACAGCCAGAATGAAATACCTTTGATCAAAGTATAATGAGTCAAAATGGCCTAAACAAAGTAAATACATACCTATTTATAGACTGAGCTTGAACTGATTTTTAAATAACATTTAGTCTCTAGATATGTAAAACTGATATGGACATATCCCAAAAATACTGTCAACTCAACAGGCTGTGAAGCAGGGCTCTGCGAAGTACTGACTCAGTGAATACATATGCATGTTGCACTTTTCTTGGTCTGTATTTAGCTTTATCTGTCGTATAATCAACTCTGATCAGCTTCCCTTTCTCTGGTGAAGAAAAGAATCCCTGGATCCTGAAGGGTGAATCTTAATACATTTGTTAAAAAAAAGAAAAGAAAAGAAAAACAGCAACAACACACAATTATACACTACTTTGTCTGTCAAAAAAAAAAATAAATCTCCAAAAAAATCTATTGAAGTTTTGTGGTTGGAAAGCTACCAAATCTGAAAGTCTAATAGTGTGAGTCTTGCAAGGCTGTTTACTCTGGTGCTTCTCACTTTTGCTTCAAAAATAAATAAATAAATAAATAAATAATAAAAAATCTGGTTCAAAAACAACATTCATACAAACCAGTTATTTATTTTTATGACTGAAAATCTCTAAATCTCCACTGAAAGAAGTTCATGGCCTACTTCCAAATTTTCCTTTTGCAGTTACATTGCTTTTTACAACTTAATGACTTACCCCTTCCCAAACAGTCAGAGCCCTAACACCCGATTGCTAAAAACCATCTGCAGCAAAACTGAACCTGTAAATATTCAGCTGTGTCTGCAAGGGAAAGTTTATCAGCCTTTATGGTATATTCTGGGAGTTTTCAGACAGGATGGCCATCCTGTGATAAGCCTTTCACATTCGGTGGTAGCCAGAAGGCTACTGAGGCTGCTGGAAACTCTAATCAGGCTCTGCCCACCTGCCTCCATCCTGCTCCTTCAAGTGAGTAACTGATCCACTTCTGGACAGAAATCATATGTTTATTTCCCTTTCTTTCTCATTGCAAACTTCTGCTCGAAAATTGAATTGGATGCCCTGGGGCAGGATGGAAAATTGTGCAAAAATAACTTATTTTCCCTACACTCAACCTTTTGCTACCCTAATGAATGGCAAAATAAGATAACAGTGGGATATGCTATTCCACGTCAGCTAGCCATCCTTTCAATTTAGAGCTCATCAATTCATGTTTAAAGTGGAAGCATCAATACTGGAAGATGGTGTGTGACTGCAAGCACATGAATCCCTCATGGAGGAAAATAAAATTACACTGTACTGTTATGCAAAACTTCTCCAGACATTAGATCAAACACATCAAATGCCACGAGACCTTGTCAGAATGTTTGTTGCACAGCATGGCAGCTCATTTTCACCCCGTGATTTAGTCAGATCAAAATTTATTATTTAAAAGCAGGAACATCATTGATTAAATCATAAATCCCCTCTTTACTGAACAGGGCAAGGGTAAATTTGGAGCCATAGTCTGGCAGCTTTAATATCGTCACATTTCACTGATGTGTCCCGGATAATTAGCATTTAATCAGCTGCAAATATTCCTAATTACAAGATTAATCTCTAACCAATTAGCCAACCTGCTAATGGTTTTACTCTACCATAGAAGTACACTGAATTCCAATTAGGGAGTAACAACCCTAATTTACCTAGAGGCCCATCTGATGGGTCATTACCAACCCAGTTACTTTCTGTATAAACTGAAGGCAGCAAGCAGCACAGATCCCATAGGAGAGCAGCTGTGGAAGCTTTATGGCCGACGTGTGAGGCATTTCCATGCATCACGGGACAATGTTTCTACTTTCTGAAAATAACAGAGTCATACTGATGATTCACTAATGAATATATGACGCTCAGCGAAACCGCAAGATCCGGAAACTAACATACGCGCTGGATTTGATCTCAGTTTAGTTCACTTACTGGGTGTTAAGTGTGATATTTGTTAATATAAAACATAATGTCGCAAGCAAGAATGGGGTGCTAGTCAGTAATTTAAAATTTAATTGAGTACAAGCACAAAGAGCATTAGCGTTTTATTAGTCAGCAGTACTACAGCTGATATCCAGGTCACTTTTGACGCAAGTGTTTCTGAAGTTGTGATTTGCCCCCAAAAAGTCTTGAATTATTAATCTTTTCCAAAAGCATTCACAGATTTTTTTTTTAATGAAGCTATATATTTGAAATAAACAAAATAGCAACTAAGTGCAAGTCTCAAAGACTTTTTAGTGGATCTTACCTGCCCTGTACCTTGATGTCAGATATTGCGTAGAAGTATCTGGATAAATTGTTCTCATCCACCATGGTGGCTCCAGTAGCTGGCTTTAGTAGTCTAATCCTCAGATCTGTGATTGTGAAGAAATCTCTCAGGTTCTTAGTGGTATCCAGCTGGCCGTATAGTGAAGCCATGTTGTGTAGCCGAGGTCCAGCAAATAGAGCGAAGCGGTCCTTTATCTCAAAACGTACGGTCTTGTCGTTCTTCCACACGTAGCCTCGAGAGTACTCCTCAGTACAAATTATGTCCAGCAGGGTGCGCTGGGACAGGTCGTTCACTGTCTTGGGCTCCATGGTGAAAGCATCCAGGCAATCAGTGGCGTAGAACTGGTAAGGGGTCCAGGTGCGACCGTAGTCGAGCGACTTCTCCAGGACCATCTGCTCCGGCCGGCCTGACTCAAAGGTGATAACAATGTCATCAGTTAGCTCGATTGTCTTGTTCCAGGACAGCGTAATGTTGACTTGCAGAGGCTTTGGGTATTTCTTCCATGATGTCGATTGCCAGAACGTTGTGGGATTTCGACCTTCGAAGTCAAACATTAACTCAGGAGGATGAGCCAGCTCCTCAGTAGCAGCATCGCATTCGTTGTTGCACATGTAAGGATTCTCCTGAACGAAAACACAATAAAAACAAAAGTAAGTGAATTGTTTATAAAGTTTATTTGATAAGGACAGATACAAGAAACATAGATCAAGATAATCTGATCTCTGTAATCTCTGTCCCACAGGGACCGCTAACACTTTTTAACACAATAATTACATAAAGTGTTAAAATAATTTCCTCTGCTTTATGTTAGTGCTGAAACTGCTAAGTTTGACTTAAATGCAATTTTTACAAATGCTCTTTATTTTAATAAACGCAATGTTGGCAAAAGTTTTGAGTTAAGCTTGTAGGGATTAACATTAAATAAAAAAATAATTTTGAAATCAGATAAAGAAAAAAATAGATTTTAATGAAGATGAAATCCATTATTCTATTGTCATGGAGGTAATGTTGATCCTGGGGGATATAATGGGATATATATATACTGCTCAAAAAAATAAAGGGAACATTTCACTTTAATTTTGTGTGTGGCTCCAAATCCAGGCCTCCATTGGTTAATAAATTTGATTTCCATTGATGATTTTTGTGTGCTTTTGTTGTCAGCACATTCAACTTTGTACAGAACAAAGTATTCAATGAGAATATTTCATTCATTCAGATCTAGGATGTGTTATTTGAGTGTTCCCTTTATATATATATGTAGTTTGTTTTATTTATACTTTTTTTTTTTTTTTACAAAAGGAGTTGCTACCGAGTTTGCATGGCCATGTTTAAACGTCTTTGATGAAGAAAGTGGTGAGGAACTATGAACTGTTCCTACAGCTACCTGAAGAGAACATATGTAACCACTCAGCAAACTAATAAAAGATGGATCAGAATTGATCGGAGCAGGAGTGAAAACAACCAAAACCCGAGGCTCAGGTTCAAAAACTAAAATGTTAACATGTCAATATGGTATTTAAAAAAAAAAGAAAGAAAACACAGAAGAAGATGAATTTTTGTAGCTACAGGAAATAATACTAAAAAATAGAATTACACAACAGTAACTAAATTTTTTTTTTAAATTTAAACTCAAACTAAATATTGTTCACTGTTCCTTTGCCTTGATGGTTTACAACTCTGCTCCACACAATTTCTATTCTATTAAAGCCCATGTGCATGTCGTAATCTAGCAATGTCATTTCTAAGGCTGCAGGAGATGGTGACCCTCTCATTGAGATGATACTGTGGATACCGTATTCCTGATGAGCACCGTTCCAGCTCCGACCTGCCCCACAAATTGCCTGTGTAATTGATATTCTTGTGTGGTATTTCAGCTCGGATAGGAATGGAATCCCGATGAGCATTTCTTATGAAACACGCAAAGGGACATGCATTTTTCATGGGCCCGTGTTTGGTTTCTGCCATAGACATCCAGCGAGTTCGGGTGTTTGTGTGAGCGAGTTTGTGGGGAGAAAGAGCTGCGCTCTTGATGTGTTTGTGTTTGTTTGTGACAGGGATAGAGAGCTGTGAATGTGTTTGCCCATATGTGTGCACACAAGCGGTATGCACTGGTGTGTGTGTGCGTGTGTGTGTGGGTGTGGACAGGGTAGCAAAGGAACGATGAAAGAGCGAGAACTGAATTGGGGGCAGAGAGCACAAGGCTCTTTTCTAAAGACATTCCTCTCACCTTTTGGTCCAGGAACAATGAGGTTAAGTACCAGGAAGATTCATATCAACTGTAACATGATTCAATAATGAGCAATCATCTGGTACTCTACTCTGAAAATGATTTAAAGAGGAGAAAAGCCCCCCAAACTGTCAGGTTGTTAAGAAATTATCCGATTCCTCTGTGCCCCGGAAAAAATTCACATCACATTCCAACAAAATATTTTAACCTTTAAAAAACAAAGTGACTAAATATCCAGTCTAAAATATTACTAAGACATATATATTCTAATTATACCCAGTAGCACATACTGTACAGATTTAATAAATGCTACAAACATGCAAATAGTCAGAATTCAAACCCTGAATAGAAATAGAACATAATTCTGTTTAAGAGGCTTGAAACTAGTGATTTAAGGCAAAAACTTAGGAACAAAGCACTTTGTTTTTTCTATCTATCTATCTATCTATCTATCTATCTATCTATCTATCTATCATAGGTGAATTATTGCCTCCATCTCATGCCCCATGATGGGTTTAGGTCAGGCCCACCATTACATTTTTATCTGAAAAGACCAGTGGTTGCATTTGTCTTCAAGTGAGTTGCAAAACCTCTATTTCAGAAAAAAAAAAAAGTATTTTAAGGTTTATCTTCCTCTGAGAAAACGGTACGAAGACTTTGTTTAGATACACATCTCCAGAGTCTGTTTCATTTCCTATGCTTTGCTATCTCCGACTTACTCTTCAGCCTGAAGAGATATAGCTGTGCTATCAAGAAGGACAAGACTGCAAGATATTGGTTCAGCTGACTCAAAGGAGCATAACATGATCCAATTAGAAGGGTAATGAGGGTTATGCTGCTAAGAGAGAATGTGAGAATAAGAAAGAGTGGGAGGTAGTGTGAATGTAAACCTTTTTAAGGAGCATCTCAGCTGCTAAAAGTATTCTCCTTTCACGCCCATGCACTCCCACACACATTCAACACTAACCCAAAGCTTAAAAGGCCACAGTGCAGCCTGAAACCAAAAACATAGGGCAAAAAAATGGAGATTTCGAAATAGAGAGTTAAGGGGTAATAGGGAAAATGGTTGGCTGCCTGGGTTTTGCCACAGGGACAATAAATTGTACTCAAGTTCTCAGTTTACTGACAATGTGTTGCTGAGGGTCATTATAGTCACTGCTTTAGGTCTCTCAGAGAGGTTGATGGTACAGAGAAGGAGGAAAAGATGGAGTTTGTGAGAGGCACTGATTCACCTGTTGTTATTCAAGAGCATGAATTTTCAGTTATTTCTTTTATTGGTTCTTCGGTTTGGTTTCGTGAACGGTGGGGTGGCTGCCTTCGCATCAGCCGAGCAAGGACTCTTATTCACAGATGCTATGAGGAAGTGTGTGACAACAGCATCAGAGGATAATGGGTAAGCAATTTTCTAACAAAACAACGAGAAGAGCAGTAAATAGAAGCACTAAGCAGCAAAGTTTCACCAAACACTTCACCACGTTTGGCAAATAAAGCAGCAGAGAGAAGCCACGAACTCTTGCAACGTTTTCTTGCTGTGTACGTCGACTTCAAACCTTCGGGGAAGCATATCATGTATGGTGCTTATTTGCTCCTCCTGAACTGCACATACCGTTATGCCTTTATACAGTCTAGTTTATGTGAAATGGGAGATTGAGAGAAATGTCAGCACCTTTTAGCAGATATCCTGTGGTGGTTATTTAACAACAAAAACAGTGCCCTATAAAGATCAATACCTTCCATGGTCATTTAAGACCAAGGCCTTCAGTGCTCTGCCAGGGGGCAGCTATTGAAAAACAATAAACCCTCTCAACTTGATCCTTTACCTGTGATCGTGGCTGTGGGAGAGGGGAAAAGTCAGTGGAGGATGTGAAAGAGGCAAGAATTTTGGACCAAAATGAAATATCGACCAGCTAAAAAATAGACTTGACCTTAAAAATAAAGAACTGCCATGTATTGGAATGTTGCTAAAGGGTTAGCTAAGCATTTCTTAATACCAAGCAACATATTTATGATGTTATATAGCTATTATGAAATGAACATGCAGAAATATATATATATATATATATATATATATATATATATATATATATATATATATATATATATATATATCAAAAAACTGTCCTGCAAAGATATTCAATGTGTTTCATTAGGATTTTACAGTATAGACCACCAGATTAGAGACCAGATCAGGTTAAAAAATATATTTTAAATATAACAACCATGATGTAATATTTTAATGTTAAATGTTGTGCTTCAATATAATTTATTTCTCCATTTTTGACAGCAATTAACAGAAATTAATTAATTAAATCAAGGAATTTATAATCATGTGCTGATAAATGGTGACCAAAAAAGATATTCAATACTTATCCACTGTAATAACCAGTTAATAAATTGATAGTCATAAAATAACTGCGTCTGCATTTTTACATGGTAAGATTACATTTGTGAATTATAAAATAATCAAACTTTACCAGAAAACTCTTAGGTTTATATGACACATACATTTTTTTGATTTCATTTTCACTGATTTGGTTTTACTTTTTTTTTTAATTCTTTCTGTTTTTGACAAAACCTAATTCCTCCTTGGCTTCCAGTCAGTATGATTCTTGTAATTTTGATCTATCTTTATTTAACCCACACTCCAAACGCCAATAAAGCTCACAGAAAGACAATCCATTTTATACCCAGTAATATATCTCCTTGCAATTCACACCAATTGACATACAGATCATGCCAACTTTGTGAACCTCTTAATGGCCCGTGTCTTATTGGTATTAGTGACATCTACATTCCTCCCATGACTGCAGTGTCATAGAGCCCAGCTGGCTTTATCTAAGCAACATGATCCATCCAGGGTGTCTGCTCGGTGCAGAAGACCTGAGCAGTGAATCTGCAGCTAATTATGTCCTGATCTGCAGCCCATAAGGTCAATCCAATATCAGGGACTGAACAAGGGGCACAGACAGATACAGGAGCTGCGGTTCTTTGTCATTTACTAGAATGTAAAGCAATCTGGACACTCAGCCATTCATATTGTCATGAAGGCTTTGTGGATGTTAAGTACCTTTCACGGTTGTCCTCAATGTTTTTTATTACATTTAGTATGACTGAATCAGCATATCGTACTAGTTTCGTACAAAAATCTGTGCAATATTCATTATGTATACCACATGTAATGCTCAGATTTTTACTCTAAATTCATTGTGTCCACTGAAAGAGCAAATAGTGTTTTACCCCCTTACGGAATTCTTGTGGGGGGTTTTTGTGACAGTTAAATGTTTTAGATAGTCAAACTAATCAGAATATCCAATGAGGTTATCAAATGATAACTTTATTTATTAAGAGGAAGCAAAAGAATCCAATCCAAATCAACCCGACTTGGGTGACAATATA